ATGTTGACCCATTAACTATCCGCAAAGTACTTATAAAGGAAAATCTCAAGAGCCGAAGCCCGAGAAAAATGCCTATGTTGAACGGGCAACGAAGGCTTAAGTTTGCTGAAGGACATGTTCCTTGGCCTAAAGAGCAATGGCGCAACATTCTCTGGTCAAAAGTCAATTTATTTAATTCTGATCGAGGTATTACGTAAAAACACTAAATAATGCAGCCTTTAACTCTAAGTGTATGATAGAGGCCGTTAAACATGGTGGCGGAAACATTATGGTTTGGGAAAAGTTTTCATACAATGATCTGGGGCCGCTGCATAGGATACAGGGGACTATGAAGGCAACCGATTATGTTGCAATACTACAAGAATGTATGTCACAGTACGCAGAAGACAATATGCCACTTAGGTTGATATTTATGCAGGACAACCACCCTAAAAACACGGTTAAGTGTATAAAAGAATGGTTTAGGGTCAATAATGAAGTGATAGCTGCAGTCCCCTGATCTAATCTCCATTGAAAATTTGTGGAATACAGTCAAAGCGTCGTTAATAGAATAGTGTTCAAGTGATAAGGAAGAAGTTTTTTAACATATTAAAAATTCCTGGAATGTAATTTCAGTTTCCGTCTGCCAAAGCGTTGTCGATCAATTTTAAACAACCATGGATTTTCAACAAAGTATTCACAAATTAGAAATTAACATTAGCACATCTGAATGAAAACTAGTTACTTTTTTTTACATAATATTGTATTTTTTGTAGTATATCACGAAGCGTCCTTATTTTTTTTTTTCGCAGGTTAAAATCGCAAATTTGAAACTTTCCAATTTGGGTAAAGCTGAAAAGAAAACTTATTTTTAATTTATTCTCAATAAATTTGTTCCCCAAATTTTTGGATATAAAAGGTGTTCTCCAAAGGAAATAGGACTTCCATTCAACAATCAATAATCTGGGTCAGCTTGGTACTAAAACAACTTCTTATGGTCGAAATTATACTTTGGAAAAAACTTATCGTGCCATGGATTGAAGACTTACAGAAAAAGAATTCCATCAATGGGAAAATTATTAAAGATGAAGCACTTAGAATATACAACCGATTTCAGGAGTTGGTGCCATTAGTATCGCATCAGATAACTAATAAAATTGTTTTCAATGCAAGTTGCATAGATGGTTGACAGGTTTCCTGAAAAAAACACGTATTCCACAATTTATACACATACATATTATCCAAAGAACTACCAAAAATAATTCAAGAGATATACATCCTTAAGATCAAATATGTAATGCCGACGAAACGGCATTGTTTTGGAAGCAAATGCCAAAAAGAACATTCATAGTAAAATCTCAAAAAACAGTTCTTGTCTTAAAAGCAGCATCTGGCGATAAATGTTATAGAAGCATGGAAAAAGTTTAAGATTTTGTATTGCATTATAAATATTTCTTTGCCATCCAACAGTGGCGGCAATCGACCTTAAATGATTGTTAGAAAAACATTTTACCAGCTGTCGTTGGTACTTCACTGGTGCAAATATTAGAAATTTGTTCAAAGATTATAAATTTTCCAAATAAAATAGGTGGCGACAATTAAACAATGAGAGTTCCATTCGACAATCAATAATTTCTGGGTCAGCTTAGTTCTAAAGCAACTTCTTATGGTCGAAATTCTACTTTGGAAAAAACTTATCGTGCTATGAATAAGAAGGTGAAGGTCAGATTTTAACGACTAATTCAATTCGTGAGGGCTCGAAAATTCGCTACAAGTTTGGAAAAACATTTGAACATGATGGACGTTAACTTAAATCTTGTGTTGTTGGGTATACAACTAAATTTGCTAAAAAAATATTCTTAAAATTAACTAAAATATATCCGAAAGGTCTAAAACGTGAGTTCTTTTTAAGCGTCTAACGTCTAGACTGTTGTCCAGTAGATTTATTGGCAGTAAGTTTTCATGATTAGAAAGTCGGTCAAGGTATCTTCGACAAGCTTTGCTCATTTTGTCTTCAACAAGGAAAATTTAAGTCTTTGTGGATTTCAAAGTTGCTTACAAACCAAGGAGCACTTACAATGCTTCTTAAAGTCTTAGATTGATATCTTTGGAGGATTTTAATGTTGAATGTACTCGCGGTATCCCATAACTGCTTTGTATACGTCCGTACTGGTTTAAGGATTGACTTCTAGAGTCGAACTTTATTTCCAAGATTAAGTTGTGAAATGCGAGCCTTAAAAGCCAGTCGATTTTTATTGTTTTAAATTTGAGCTGCTTCAATTTCTCTATTATGTCTGTCTTCCAAGTGAGTCTTCTGTTCAAATAAAGACTTAGATATTTGACAGTTTCACTTTCAGGTATTGTACAGTCATTTAATGATACGCTCTAGTACACTCGGTATAACTCCCGAAATATTTCGAAAGTCTGTCTGAAATTTTCACAGTATATTTTCAAGACATTTCATATACTTTCAAATTAAGCAAACAAATTTTTTTCGATTTTTTTATCCCAAGTTATCAGACTACTACCTTAATTCAATAGGAAGGAACGATTTTTTCACTTCATTAGCGATTGATTGTGAAGTAAAAAGAAATCTCGCTTCATGAATAGCTATTATACACTTTTCAACTGTTAATTCAATATCATCGCAGCTTTTAAGGGTCATTCAACCTAGTTCGATTTTCAAGCCAGTTTCTAAATGCTGCTATATCAGTATTTTCCGTAATAATTTTGTATGGTTTTTCCATACTGAACACCGTAGTCCCAAACGCTACTATTATTGGCGAATGATCAGAGCTTAAGTCAAAACTCTCTTTAATGTAAAGTTGGTGTTGTTGTATGCCTTTATACACGACAAAATCTTGAAGTTATGGTCTTCTTCGAGCAGCAGCGGCTTTTATTGTTTCTTGTAATAAATATGAATTGTTTTCTTTTATTATAACTTTATTTGCAAGGTTTTTTAAGAGACTATTTGATTTTTTTCATTTTACACGATTTTTATGGTTGTGAAATAGATCCCCAAATTTACATATCAATCGTGTATTTTTATACACGGTTTCTTAAGAACGTACCTACCATGTTAAAAAAATGTTACTGTGCGCTTTTGGCTGGGTATTTGCATATTTTTGGACAGCTGTTATTAAGTCAACCCTTGTATAATTGAGGTGAATAATAATAGTTGAACAATTCTCAACCGATTATTATGTATATTTTTCTTACAACGTTTCCTCAGAAAGTTTTTGAATACGACCAGCCGTTTACTCAAGTTTTTAAAAATTATGTAAAAAACATGAAAAAATGAAAAGGAAGTGCTTAAGGTTAAAAACTAAGGGTTCATATTTCCAAAAAACACAAAATTTTCAAATATCTAAAAAGAAATAAAAAAAATTTAAATGAAACACCAACACATACAAAATCTATGGGCCAAGCCCTCTTTCGAAGACAGGAATAACATAGTTCACTATATGTATGTATAGTTTATGCAATGGGTCTAACACCGGCGTCTAACACTGGCGAATTCGATAGATAAAAGGTCGTCTCATTGCACTTAAAGGAATCAGTACGGCTTTACAGCCTGAGTGAAAAGAACGTTTGAATGTTTTGCCAAAACTCTACCGGATCGGGTTGAAATATAAAACAGTTTACAAAATTATAAAACAGTTTACAAAACAGTCACGGTAGTGTTGCCTGAGTGTAGGTAATCGAAAATAAGGTTGTACTTATTATGTAATTTACAAGATATTTTTACCATGAAATAAATGTTTTAATGCATACTTTAAATGAAATAAGTTTTTTTATATTGGTGTCTGGTCTAGTTACTCGCTGTTGACGTAAGCGAATAAAAATTGTGCGAAGAAAGTGTTAAAACTGCTATCTTAAGCGCTGCGCAGTTTTGTTGGCAAATAATGCCACGTTATTACATTCAATAAACAGAAGTTATGAAATAAGCAAATCTTATTTTGTAAGTGAAAAATTTTTTTTTAAGGTTTTGGCATGCTTCTTCGTCTTCAAAAAGTAAACATTTTCTATTTCCACATCATACATTGGTTAGTCGAAAAAGTATTTTCGTATTTCTAATCAAACTTCAACTAAATTTTTTATATTTTTAATAAACTATAATACACCAAATATGTACCATTTTGGTCGATAAATTTTTGCCATTTTTTCGCTAGGGACATTATTCGATTAGTGCAAAAGTTTTCTGGGTTTTCGGCGAAAAATTGCGACAAGTGATTTTCACAGACTTCTCTTGAAGCTAACTTTACTCCTTTAAAAGAGTTCTGCATTGAAAGAAACAAACGTATTTTTTTTTGTAACCAGCCTTTTCTAAATTATTCAAAACAGTTTGATGATGAATGTTAAATTCTTTAGCGTTGTCATGTCTGTTTGTGTGAGGGTCCTGGTCACTCTTTTCCATAATTTCATCGACTTTTTCAATGATAGGTCGACCAGAGGTGCACCTTTCACATCGAAATTTAAAGAACGGAAGCGAGCGCACCATTGTTGTGCTACAGAACTAATACAATTTCAAAATATAGCGAATTTCTTCATTACTTTCACACATTTTTGAACAGCTGTAACTGTTTTCATCCTTCCCTAATTTAATTTTGGTTAAATGAAGCTTAAATCTCACCTTTCCAACACTAGATGGTATTGCACAATGTGATTGGTAGCGCTGGAGAAATATGACTTTAACGACATCTATTGACAAAATGCGAAAAGACTTTTTCGACTATCCGACCTTTCCTTTATAATGACTTTTTTCTGTCAAAAATTACGAAATAACTGTTATTTTCGGTCCATGATTTTAAGATCTTCGAAGCGTCGAATATCTATTTCGTTCTTTCATAACATATTTTATGGATTCTAATAAGAACTATGATAATCTAAAAACCCAAGTTGTGTAGTTTTTGAGTGTCTGCCAAAATATGCAAATTTTTAACCCGTTCTAGTTTAAAACTTCTTTCCATGAACCCCTTATAAAAAGTATAATATATTAATTAAAAAAGCTTTTTTCAAAATTAAGTATTTCTGTATTTATTTATTAAGTGCCTTCTTCTCTTTGTTGTCAACGGAGCTAATTGATGCTAACTTTCATTTTGATATAATGGAAGCAAGGGTTTAGCGTTAGATGCGTACCAAATGTTTGGATTCTGATTCAAACCATGAGTTATTTGTTGTCCTGGTGGACCCGATGGTCCAGGCGGGCCAGTACGCCCTTGAGGACCAGGTCTGCCCATAGGTCCGGTTGCGCCGGTAGGTCCGCGTGGGCCTGGCGGCCCAGGTGGCCCCGGTGGACCCGGTGGCCCCACCACAGCCACAGGCAATATGGCAGCGGGCGGTTGCAAAGCAAGATTTTCTTGATTCATGGCATTATTAGGTAATTTAGTTGAAGGCGATACTAAATTTAAACCGCCGTTACCGTTCAAATTAAAACCGAGTTGTAAGCGATCGGCAAGCGCCCAACGTTGATAAGCATTCTCATAGTAAGGATAGTTACGACGCATATCATTCGATGTCAGACGATTGTCCAGTATGGCGGCTGTATTTGATGTTGCACCGGTATAAATAGGAAAACCGATATTTGGCAGCATAAATTTAATGCTCTCATCGTCCATAACGGGCATAGCATTCGAGTATAGATAATCGGGCAATTTGCGACTGTCCTTCTCTAGTTCGCTTTCTTGTGGCGTGGTTGTGTCTTTGACGCTTTCACTAGCTGGTGCGCTTGCATCCAGACGCGGTTCCTGCATGGCCGGTTGTTCATCCTGTGCGTAAATTACTAGTTTACCATCACCGTCCGCATTACGAGCAACACCGAAGTGCAGTGGTGTGGCGCGCAGCGAGTGCACAAGTGGGCTCGAGCTGGCAGTAAGCAGCAGCAGGATAGCTGTGGGTCCGAAATTAGAAAAAGTTTATGCTAAGCAGATTGCTACGTTACAGCTGTGCTCTAAGAGTGACTTACCGAGTTTTCGTATGACTTTTGTCGTACTCATTTTGCTTATGTTGTCTTCTAACAACGAGAACTTGCTTTTATATCGAGGCACACTGAATACTAATGGCTATTACCTGGTATTTCTTCAACTTTTACTAATTAACGTGATAAAAATCTAACACTACTGTCAGTGAAGTGCTTCGGGGAAGCTCATGAATAAGTGAGTCAAGACGCCATGGTTGACAAAGGCGCCGAAATGATGCGCTATAAATCAATAGTTGATGCTTGTTATGATTTAAATATAACTAGGTCAGGCATTAACCTGTTGAAAGCTCGCTGACCGCAGAGCTGATGTTTTGGTGATGAATTTTATGCGCGTCTATTGAGTTAAAGCGATTAAGAATGACGATAAGTGACAAGCGCTCATTTGTCTTAGCTTATGCTTGCAATAAACCAGCATTGAAAACAATAAATAAAAAATAGTTCAACATTTCTTTTAACGCACAAACTATTAAAACACTGTTAGTTGCTTATTTTATGTGAAAATTCAATTCTATTATTACTTAATCTTTGTTTTTTTTACAATCCACATTTCACTCATTATCATAGTAGTCTGTTTCTACGTCCTCCGCGTAAATGTCATGCGTCATGCGCCGAGCTGACGTACCCGGCGGATCTTGTGGACCGGGTGGATCTATAAAACCTTGTGGACCCGCCGGTCCAGGCGGTCCATTCGAGCCTGGAAAGCCACGTCTACCATGTAAACCAGGCGCACTCTGTTGGCCAGCTGAACCGTCACGTCCGTCGGGACCAGGTACACCTAGCGGAGCAATTGCTCCTACTGGACCAGTATCACCAGTGGGACCACGTGACCCTGGATTGCTTATATTACCAGCTAAACCAGGTGGTCCTGGTGGTCCTGGTGGTCCCGGTGGCTCTTGTTGTGTATAGTATACCTGTCCAGCTGGGCCGACGAACTGTGCTTGCAGCGGTTGGAGGGTTAGGCAGAGCTTAGTAGAAAGTATGCTGCATAAGCCATTTCACGTGGTAAACTGTGGGGAGAGGCGCGACTCAGCTCCTTTTATACGCCTACAGCAGGCAGCACCGTTACTGCAGTGGCAAGGGCGGCCAGTTGCATCGGTTGCATTGATTTATGTTTTCAGATAAATTCTGTCGATTAAATTGTTGTTCATTAAATTATATTTAGTCGCTTTTTCTTCTCCTCATCAGCCCTTTATTGCACTTAACGAATGAGACTACAAAAATCTTAATTTTATTGCGCTGCAACAAGTGTATTTTCAATTTCCCTCATTTCCATTTCCAATAGAATTTAACTGCATTTTTATTTCTTGATTCCCTCTTCCACTGCTTCACCTACCGATCGATTTTATGCGGGAAAGTTGTTCAAAGACCGAACACACGGTGTTTAAGGTATATCAATTGATATTGAGACATTAAATGCAGATAAAATCTAAGAGCCGAATCTAATTAACGCAGTAATAGGTTTTATGTGGATGAAACTTGAGTATCATATTCTTTGGATGCTACTTTTTGTCAATTTTATTTTTAAGTTTCTTCTTTAATACCGAACTAAACAAATAAGTTCGTGTGGAACCGAAACTTATCTACGATTATTTCAAAAAAAGTTAAGCCAAATGTTATCTCAGATGTTTACTTCAACTTATTGTTTTATATATGATTTATAATAAACTTCAAAGAACCAAATATATACGATTTTGGTCGACCACTTTTTTCGCTAGAGACATTATTCCATCACTTCAAAACTTTATTGGTTTCCCGGCGAAAAACTGCGACAAGTAATTTTCACAGGCTTCTCTTGAAGCCAACTTTACTCCATTTAGGGAGTTCTGCATTGACCAAAACAAATGGTAGTCCGATGGTTTAGGGTCAAGGCTATATGGTGGATGCATCAAAACTTATCAGCAAATCTCTCCCAGTTTTTGCCGAGTCATCAAAGATGTGTACGGTCTGGCGTTGTTCTGATGGAAGATGAAGCCCTTTCTGTTGATCAGTTCTCTCAGTTGTGGACAGTAAAATGTTGAATCAATCGTTCGACCAGGCTCGAGCAGCTCATAATGAATGATTCCTTTCCAATCCCACCAAACACTCAGCATAACCTTTTAAGGCGTCCATCCTAGCTTTGCGAACATTTCTTTAGCTTCACCACGCTTGAACCATGATCTTTTTCGCCCATTATTGTTGGTTACCATTCGCTTCAGAAATGGTTCCATATCATTTCGTTTCAGCAAAGAATCGCAGATGTTAATTCGGTCCATTAAGGCTCAAACATCGAGCTTCTTTTTGCAGCGAGTCTTTTTATAATCTTTTAAAACCATCTGATGGTGAATGTTAAGTTTCTTGGCGATGTCATGGCTGCTGATGTAAAGGTCCCGGTCAATTTTTTCATAAATTCATCGGCTTTTTCAACGATATCGACCAGAGCGAGGTGCATCTTTCACATCGAAATTTCCAGAACGGAAGCGAGCCAACCATTGTTGTGCTACACGAACTGATACAGCATCGTCTCCGTAAACTTCAGAAATTTCATTGGTGGCTTCCCTTTTTTATACAAAAATTTCAAAATATAGCGAATTTCTTCATTATTATCACAAATTGTTGAACAGCTGTAACTTTAAATGAAGCTTAAATCTCACCTTTCCAGCACTATATGGTATGACAGAATGTGATTGGTATGAGTAGCATTGGAGAAATATGACTTTAACGACATCTATTGATAGCCGAAAATACTTTTTCGACTATCCAATATTAAAGGATAAATAGGCACACGAAAAACACTTTAAAGGAAAAAACCACTATCTAAACAATCAGTACGCAAAAAAAAGTTGGAGTCCGTATTTCCAAAATTAAGTGATCTGTTGGATCACTGGACCAATTCCTTGGATTTTTCAACAAGACAATGCTCCCATTCATAACGCTCAAGTAGAAAAGTCGTTTATTTGGAGTCAAAACGTTAATGTCATGGCTTGGCCTTCATATTCTCCAGATCTCAACGTAATTGAAAATGATTGTAACTGGCTAACGAAGATAAGGAAACATTAACTGCAGCTATTAAACGTGCTTGGAATGAGATTTCCGTGACCTACATAGAGAATCTGTAGCATTCTATGAAGGACCCGATATATGAAGTTATTACTTACAAAGGAGGCAGTGCTCATTACTGAAATAATTTTTTTTAATTCTAATAAATCAAATATTAACACGAACTAAAAATTTAGTTCAAAAAACCTTAAGCTAATGACCAGCAGTGTAGTGTAATGGAAAGTGTAGCCTTGGATATTGTCCATTTTCTGTATAAAATTAGAAATGGCAAGGGTAATCCCCTTAGTTGCATTAATGCCGATCATCATCTGATTGCATTAACTACTCTTGTCTAGTAATAATTAATCAAATATTTCTGCAAAGAAAATTGAGGTTTTTATTTAGCATAATTTTATTGATTCGATTTATGTCAATATTCTCAGTATTTGCGATAACTTAATCACACTATTAGAAACCCTCGTCACTATTGGTGAAAAACTAAGACAGTCGATTTTCAGAAGCTAATTTTGAGTCGAATTTTCCACAGTAATTCGCCCGAGGCAGGAATTCACTTGGGATCAGATCAGGATGGATGCATAAAAACAAATCATGCTCCCAGAGCTTCTGGCTATTAATTATCGATATGTGGCCTGGTCTTGAGCTCATAGAACACAATTCCGCTTTTTTTTGCCAATCCGCAGCGATTCGCAGTTGGAACTTCGGTCCATGAGAATTTTTTGCGTTAGGTTAATGAGTTCAGAGTTAAGCATACGACAATCTTTTAAACTGCCGGACCACTGCAGTATATTTTAAGCAGAGGTATTTGCTATTGGTAAAGCCTCTACGTGGACAGCAAAGAAGCAATCACAGTTTATTACGTTTAGCGTATCGGCCCGAAGTGCTTTGAGAAGTAGAGAGTGGCGCAAGCGACTTCACTTCTACTTGCACTTATAGTTATGTGTAAAACGGTAGACCGTAAATATAGAAAGGCCTGAAGAAACATTGTTGGAATACTGACGGAGCATCTCATGTGAACTTGTCCCACATCGGAATGGTGACGCCTTAAGCATTTAGTGGCCATACGGTATGAGACAATGGAAAAGTTTGTGGTAGTGAGGCTATATAGCCTATTAAAATTCACGTCAAATGCAGACATCCTAAAAGACTCTCCATGGACCACGGAATGGAGTTCCATCTTGACCTATTTCGGCAAAATCAATTTAGGCTTACCAGACTTACCTAACCTAACCTAACGTGAGAACCAGATTACTAGAGTCATAACTTAAAAAAAATTTTGACTACTTTCGAACTTTTCAAACCGTTCCACACTAATAGAAATTAGTCAACTAAAATTGTTCAGAGATATGGTATGTTCGCTTACCGATTATTCGTTTACAGCATCAATATGAACCTATCGCTTACTCAGCCATGCTTGGTGTTGATATTTTTTCAAATATGCTATTCAATAATGCTATTAAGACTAACCATATATTGAAAAAAAAAATTCAAACTTTTTATAGTTTCATGACAAACTTCAAATCTGACCAAAATATTCGTCTTCGATGAAGAACTATTTTGAAGCATTGTTTTGAATCAAATGAAAAACTCCATATTATATTCTGAATTGTTTATGTTTGCTAAGTTTAAACGGAACAATTTGTGGAGTCTGAGAAGCTTTACTTTCCGCAAATAACGAGTAGGTTTTTTACTTGTTATTATTCCATATCTCGATTAGAGGTAATAATTATCTTAGATGAATTGACCAGGATCTTAGGTTCTTGACACTATGTTGCAATTGAAAACCGATTCAATGTATTAAGTTAATGAGTCCAAATAACAGGGTTCTAGACATTAAATCGGAATTAATCTTGATGAATGATAGTCACGTTAACTTTTTCAATTTTTCTGTCAACTTGAGGGACTGTTACTTGAATAGACTAGAGTCATAAGTGCTGTTCCAATAGGCAAAATAATCATAATTGTAAATATCGAGTTTGTAGTTATTTCGTTGGAATAAATCTTGATGAATGATTATAGCTAACCTTTTTACTAGTAAGCGATCGTTAGAATATTCTCCAATGGAACTTTTAGTTCCAAACTTGTAAAGAAATTATTCGAAAGTTTTCATCTTGAAAATGATTATTGTAGAATTATTGAAGACGTTTACGTTACCGCGAAGGTAACGATCGCACAGAATTAAGACCAGACATTATAATTATGTAACCTCCTTGGAATTAACTTGAAATTATTGGTAAGGGTTCCTCGATTACAAAAAAATTAATCAAGAAGGCAATCAATGTTCTTAACTAGACATATATCAGCTTGCTTACTCATGGATATATTCTGTGCATTTTTTTAGCTCTGACTAGATGAAGAGTTCACTTTTTTTTCCACAGTTACATGCTATGATTGCAATGGGTTGAAATGCTTTTAGTCAAAGAAAATGCTGAAATATTCTTTATTCAGTTGCTGTCTGATTATGTAAGATCTGTAAAGATCTGTAAGAAACAGATAATTACTTACATGACAAGAGAAAGAGAGAACATATGTGACGCGATAATTTCTGGAGAATTTTTTTCTTTATGATTAATGTTGAAGATTTGATTTGAAAATTAAAACAAATAACTAAAATTTCAGGAGTTTAAGCTCACTTTTGGAATATTTAATTTATATATTTTAAACAATTCTAAACTCGCAAATGATTTTACTTATGACTAGCACTTTTCTCGACTAAAAGTATTGCGTTGTTATTTTCCACAGCCACAGTTGTCATCATTTAAAGACGCTTTGCCAAAAGTTCGCTTGAAAACGGTCACGATATCCGCATCAGAGGCCAATTGTAGAATCATGAGCACAGCAAATATCGATTTGATTAGCTACAACACGCGGCATTAAAAAATAATTAAAAATATAAATATTTTTTATAATGCTAAATAGACTGTCTAAAATTAACAGAGACGAGAACTCGACTTACAACAATACGAAAATTCACCATTTTTGTCAAAACGTTTCGCTTTTTCGACACCGAAAATTCTACTACATATGGTTGCAAGTATGCTTGAGTTCCTAACTAATTGTTTCCGCCTTAAATAAAGTCTTTTGTCGAGAAGTATGTGCGCTGAAACGTGTCGCAAATCTTGATACGTGGCATTTTTGGGTATTAACTGATGACTGGCTGGCATTATGTCAATTCTAAAACCTGGTGTCGCATGCCTAAAAGTAGGCTACCAAATTGCGAAACCGCATATGGGCGGGTTTATGGTATTCTGCACTCAAATTTACCGGGTCAGCTAAGTAGGTCGTGTACTTGAAGCAATCACATTGACCGAAATGCTCGCTTTAATTGCAAACTCTGCTTTTCCAGCGGCATTTCCGTAAATATATATGCCCATAGGTGTGTGTGTAGTAGCGAGCAACGCTGAGGTTATGAAAATTTTAAATAAAAAAGTGCTTCTTGCTTACACCACCTCGTCGCTACTTCATGTTCTTTAATACAGAATTTATTTATTTTATTTGCTTATATATTTATTTATTACATACACACACACATATATGTGTATGTATTTGTTCAAAATAAATGGAGTTTGTGTTTTTCAGCGCAATTTTTTATCATATTTTTTGTTTTTTGTATATAAAATATACCAACGCAGCATAAGTAAATGTAGGCACTCGATTTCGGAATTTTATAAATCACCGGCAAAAATTATATTTATGTTTTTTTTTTGTTTTCTTGCAATGGAAAATTTTTGCTCGACAAGTTATTGCGTACAGTGGGATGAATATACATAACCAAGCATATAAAATTAGTAGGATTATTTTATTTTATATTAACTATTAACTATATACGTGAAAATAATCTAATATATTAAATTTTTCTTTAGAGCGATGAAAAGGTGAAGTGAAGTAGAGTAGAAGAAAGATTTAAAGATTTACCTGGAAACTTATGAAAGTGACAGCTGACAAATTAAACTGATCTGTCAAATAAAATTTCCTTCAGTAGCTTGTAGCAAATCACCATGGAAAGGCTTACTTCGTTTCAGCGCTTAATAACTGTGTAAATATATTTCCGAGTTCGGAATTTTAAATGGGGAAATTACTTTCATATCTTTCAACAACAAATCAGTTTGGATGAAATATTTTTCTGGCAATATTGCTGTAATTGGAGCTACAATCTTGTTTGGTTTGATTTGAATGCCGGCGGTTTGGATAATGATGAAATTTACACCGATGGTTAGAAAAAAAATTACTGAAGATGATATTATTGACGACGCTCAGCATGTTATTGAAGAATGACTTTAATGGAAAAAACATAAATAATAATATAATCAATATTAGAATCTGTGTTAAACTTTTGATTTATGGAAAATTTTTAAAATAACAACTTTGTACTACTCAAAAATCATCCATTACAATTCTCTAAAAAATCTTTCAGCATACATACACAACGCATAAAACTTCTAAGAACTGCGCATTTGAATAATTGCAGTTTAAAGCAACAGTCGCCTAAACGAAAACACTGTAATCAAAACTTTTATTGTGGCATACATGTTTGTTTACTTTCTTCACTTCGTCGTTTTGGTAAGAACTTTCACGCAAATTGAAGAAAGTTGTATGTGAATGTGCCTTCAATTCTTTACTCCATCCTTTGACAAAACTAGTATAGGTTGTCAAATATCTCCCTTCCGCCTTTTTGTCTTTTGAATTTCGCGGCTATGTATAAAGCGCTACAGAGCTCGTATTTGGGAATATTATACATCTTTGAAAGACAAAGCGACGCTATGCATGATTAGTTTGGATATTGCGTTCAACAGTTAGAGACGTGTAAACATGGAGTTCACTAACGCCAAATTTGCTCTATTTTAAACTTTACCTGCGATATAGGCAAATCCGCTAGAGAAACGTCCCGTGAGATTAATGGTGTTTTGGGGTTGGTACTCTATCACTTCGACAACGATTCAGAGCGGGTGAAAACGACACCATGTATAAGTCAGCCGACGGAAGACCTGTGACCACGAATACCGATGAAATCATGGAAAATATCGGTTAGACCGGCATGTGGCATCTTGTGACTTAGTCCAGATGATGGGAGTTAATCACCAAACCATTTGAAACCATTAGCAAAAGGCTGGATACACAAAAAAGCTTGATATTTGGGTGCCGCATTATTCGACGCAAAAAAATCTTCTGGACCGAATCAACGCCTGCAATATGCTGCTGAAACGGAACGAACTCAACCCATTTTTGAAGCGTATGGTGACTGCCGATGATAAAAGGATCACATACGACAATATCAAGTGAAAACGTTGGTGTTCGGAGGCCAGTGAATCGTTCCAAACAGTGGCCAAGCCGGGATTGACGGCCAGGAAGGATTTGATGTGTGTTTGGTGGGATAGGAAAGGAATCATCCACTATGAGGCCACTTGGATATTTGACAACCTAATATGAGTACTAAAATTTCGATCCATAGGCACTAACATAACATGAAAGTTAAATACTTGCACTAGGCTACAGTTTTTTTTATTAATTATATAGGGAGAGCGGTATCTACACAGATCTCTTAGAAAACTCTTCTGAAACGAATAATGTGCCTTAACAAAACTGCAAATTCTAATACAAACCTTTAATTGGATCTCAGTAGAGATGGATAGGTTGACTTTTTTAAGTGGTTATCGCCCTGTCCCTTGAAAAGTTTAGTGTACTTATCTCACAAACCGCTTTAGCTGTATCAACCTGATTTGCTCGAATCCCATCTGCACCTCCTCAACCATATGAAAATAGTTGCAATAGGATAACAACCACACTCACTCTCCATATAACGGTTATGGTGAACAGTACTAAGGAAGTGATAACTAACTAAATAAATATGGGGGCGCTAAATGAATGACCAAATTTAGTCTTGTGCCTAATATTTAATTTAATATTTGTAAAGGCTGTTTTTTAGGAGTGTGGTTTTGAGTTATCTTAATGAGAAACTCACAGAGCAGCAGGACGGTATTAACGATAAAAGATGAAATTGGTAAATGTTTTGCGACTTCCGCAATGTTATTTGTGAGATATGGACAGCTGCATTTTCTTTTTTAATATTTCTGTGTTTTAGGTTAGGTTGGGTTAGTCCGGTATGCTAAAGAGCCACGTATATATTGATTCTGGTTCTTAGCGATATTAGATCCATGAGTATTAGTCATCCAAAACACTGCGCTGGACACGACTTTTGCATAGACTCTGTGGCCTAAAACAAAAATTCTATGCCGCTCAAAAAGTAAAGTGTAAAGCACTTGTTTTTCATAAAGCACTTGTTTTTCATGAAAACAAAATTGTTTTCATGAAAAACAAGTGCTTTACACTTTACTTTTTGAGCGGCATAGAATTTTTGTTTTAGGCCACAGAGTCTATGCAAAATATGTGTCCAGCGCAGTGTTTTGGATGACTAATACTCATGGATCTAATATCGCTACTATGCAAAATATATATATATATATATGCATATACATCTGTAGAGTTTTTCTCTATACCTTCAAGAGTTATTTGAGGAATTGAATTTAAAAGTCGGAAGATTTTATTGGCAATTTAAGCCAATTTTGAACTTTTTATTATATAAAGGATCTTTGAGAGCCTTGAGCTATTAATGCTCTTCATTTGAATAAATCTCCTTTATATGCTATGGTAAAAGAACATTGCTCTCATTTTCTGAATGAAGAGCTTGCATTTTTGCTGAATTAGAGCAACATTGTTGTTTTTCTCTTTTTTCCGATTTGAGGTTTGTTTTTACGAACATACTATATACATAATAGCGAGTTTTTAATAACAAATACGAAAGTTGTTTAAATAGAACAAAAACGGTTTGGGGTATCAATGAAATTCATATTTTTGGTCCAAATTGGAAGCTACACAGCGAATATCTCAATCCGTTTATTGAAAACCAAGTGCGATTAGACGACGTTTTTCCCTTCCAAGTCTATGGTCTATGCGAACAAGACAGCGACGACTGATGAACTTTGTACGAATATTGAATGTGGAATTGCAGTAGTATCGAATTATGCTTGAAAACCGTCGAAAGTTGGGTTCAGCGTCTAGACTTCTACAAGCGTGCCCGTGGTGGCCATGCGATAGTAATCGAGTTCCATACATACTCTTATAGCAAAAACCCTATACTAATATCTGAAAAATTCTTGAATATAAAAAGTGATTTATAGTTAAAAATAATTTGGTGATTAGTAGCACATATTTTGGAAAACGCTATTTATATTTAGTGAACAAGTAAAATAAATATTTTGAGATTTTTACTCAATTGTTATATAGAAAATAATAAGAAATGTTTTTATTATAAGCTTAAATTGTTAGCACTTTTACGAAAGAATTGTAAAATTTTTAGAATTCCTATTATAGATTAAGATGCTAAGACCCATACTAGTGTTTCCTAAGTATTTACATATATATTTTCGTTCGTAATAGGGCTTTTTTCCGTTCTCATTTGGCTTAACGATGTATACGAGTGCACATAAAAAGTACCCATTTCACATATACACACTTAAATGCATATAAAACTATAGTATATTTATTCAGCTAGGCTCACGTTGTGAAATGCCTCGATTAATAACAGAGTTATTCATTTCATAATATAGTTCAAACCCAACCATAACAACAAATTAAGGTAGCTAAAAGATATTACTAACTTTTTTTCCTAAATAATAATTCTAAAAATATTCACTGATTATGGGTATAGCTTCCCCTCGAACGGGGTGCGTTACATTTGAAGACCCTCATTCAAAATACTTTCAAACATATACACATATACACATATGTACTAATATACTATTATGCAGTTAAAAGTAGAATTCACGTTTTCAACGTGGAAACGGTTAGGCGAATAATGCAAAACCGTTTGGTCACGTAAAGTCCGGATACGCGTAATATGTCGCGTACCCTAAATTTGCTATAAAAACTATACTACAATTTTGTTAAACATATTCATTCAATCTTCTAACCCTAACATCAAACAACAAAATAACGCATAATGAATAGATTCATTGTAAGTAATTCCTGCAACTCCTTGTACATAACGGTGAATAATATAAAAAAATTTTCCTTCTTGCCTTGCAGTGCACCTTCGCAGCAATTGTCGCCGTCGCCAATGGCTACTCAGTAAGTGGTGGTAGTCACGGTGGTAGTCACGGTGGCAGCCGCGGTTATGGCTCCTCGATCGCTGGAAATGCCTATCAATTGCTGCCAGCCGTTTCGGTGCAAACGATTGCTGCGGCTAGAGGTAGCGCGGGTGGTTATGGTGGCTCGTCGGGTGGTTATAGTGGCTCGTCGGGTGGTTATGGTGGCTCGTCGGGCGGTTATGGCAGTGCCGCTCGTGGTTATGGTGGTTCCTCTGGTGGTTATGGCGCCGCGAGTGCACCATCTGTTGATGTCAATAGTTTGCTGGCAGCAATTGGTGGTGATATTAGTGCACAACAAGCGGCTCAACTCGCCTTATCCTTGCCTTCCGCTGGCGGTCCATATATTGATACCTCAATCCATTCTGGTAGCAGTGGTAAAAGTTCCTATGCTAGCGGCGGCAATTTAGCATATGCTATTGCTCCTAGAGGTGGTTCTTACTCGGCTCCAGCTCCGGCTTCATACGCTGCACCAGCTCCAGCTCCGGCTGCATACGCAGCACCAGCTCCAGCACCGGTTGTATATGCTGCACCTGTTCCAGCTCCAGCTCCAGTCGTTTATGCAGCACCTGCTCCAGCTCCAGCCGCCTATGCTGCACATGCTCCTGCTGCTGCTGTATATTCAGCACCTGCACATGCACCAGTCGCTTACCAAGCTCCAGCACCAGCTCCAGTTGCCTACGGTGCTGCTGCTCCTGCTTCAGCTCGTCGTCCATCAGCTGCCGCTGCCGTTAGCTACATCTCGGGCGGTAGAAACCATGCTGCCTCCGCACCCGCTGCGTATTAAATTATACGTTACACAATATTTTTAAAAAAATGAATGTTCGATCAATGATCCAAGAATAAAAAGCGATATTTCGAACAAAGAATCAAAGATTTTTGATATTTCTACCGCTTATATAGTATACTCGTACGTTAGAAAAATCGGAATAAAAGCATGAATATCGCTTTGTTCGGAGTGATTTGTGTGTTGTTTTAGTGAGCGGATAAAAGCTCTTCATTGAGTTTTTTTGACTACATTAACATTTTTAACAATACATATTTAATAAGGAGCTTACAACTATGTATACGAAGTTACTATCCATATATACATATACATATAAGAGGAACCCGAATGCTAAGTGAATTGGTATATAATTATGAACTTTGTGTGTCTCGTTTTCGTAGAAACAGCGACCGAATATATTTATTGCGCTTCTGAATCTATAAGCATACCATATTGCTGGGGTCACATTACCGAATAGTTTAGCACATTTAGATATCCGACACATTTTAACTCAGCTTTTGCGCACGTCAGTGCTATTGTGATGTCATTCGTAATGTACTCTGACAGCAGCAGCCATTGATGATCTTCTAATAATTTTAGAATATAAACCATATATAATATAGCAAACTCAAAAACTCGCACATCACTGTTGTTGCATATGCGAAGCGCTGCAGTCAATGCAGTAAAGACTGTCGGCAATAATACAGATATATTTTTTCACAAGCAAGCAATATCTAAAATAATCTTAGTTGTCGGTCGACGCTCCAAATTTTTCGACCAAAAATATAAAACTAAATACTTTTTTTTTTAAATTTTGTGGAATTGAATGTAGCAAATATATATTTTATATATAGAATATATATATATATATCCGATAGAACAATTACATTTTTCACCATTTATGTTCTGATGGAAGGAAAGCGCTGTCGTCATTCTGTACTACGTTTTTAAGATTTGTAACTTTTTTTGATGTTAACTCACTGATATAGATGTGTATAAGAGACAGATATATATATATATCCGATAGAACAATTACATTTTTCACCATTTATGTTCTGATGGAAGGAAAGCGCTGTCGTCATTCTGTACTACGTTTTTAAGATTTGTAACTTTTTTTGATGTTAACTCACTGATATTTGGGCGTCATTGCTAGAACTAAAATATATTTCTAATTAAACTCCAGTACATTAAGAAGATTTCGATATTTTGAATTGAATCACAAGAAATAGCTTGTGTCTGCTTGTTGAAAATTGCTTATCTTCTAACGGGTTTTTCAATAGGGATGCTGCAAAAGTAAACTTTTAGGCATAGCAAATGACACCATATTTTTTTCTTGCTCTTTTGACATTTCTCTTCTGCAAGGTTTGCCATTTCATCATGGAAAGAAATATGATCCAACAACGAAATGAATTGATTATAATTTACTACCGAAATTCGGAGTCACCATTGTATCCCGAAGAAATTACGGTTTGGTTCGATTTATGGGCCGGCGACGTCATTGGACCGTACCTCCTCCGCGACGATCAAGACCGGCACGTTACTGTGAATAAAAATCGATACCGCTTAATGATATCCGAATATTTCTGGCCCGATTTAGATGATATGGACTTGGAAAATAAGTGGGTCCAACAAGATGGCGCCGGTAGTCACACAACGAATATCACAATCGATTAATTGAAAACTAAGTTTGGTGAACGTGTTTTCTCACGAAATAGCCCAGTCAATTGGGCGCCTCGGTCGGATGACAGCTATCAATTGATCTCTCCAAATAATATGTCAATATTTTTGGGGTTGGGAGTGATATTTATTTCAATAGGTCTTTTAAGAAAACATATGCTTGTCGACCCAATGGAGGATATAGTATACTCTAGCCTGAACCTGAAGAACTCGAGCGCCGATGGTTTGATAGTTACTTGGGTCGGACTGCAAGGAATTGTATCAGCATTTAACATACCACTAGGCGAGCTTAAAAATTTTATACCCTGAACAGGGTATATTAAGTTTGTCACGTAGTTTGTAACACCCAGAAGGAAGGGTCGGAGACCCTATAAAGTATATATGTATATAAAAGATCAGTATGTCGAGCTGAGTCGATTTAGCTATGTCCGTCTGTTTGATCTTCTATCTGTCCGTTCATCTGCCTGTCCGTATATATACGAACTAGTCCCTCAGTTTTTAAGATATCGTTTTGAAATATTGCAAACATCATTTTCTCTTCAAGAAGCTGCCCATTTGATGGAACTGCCGATATCGGACCACTATAACATATAGCTGCCATGTAAACTGAACGATCGGAATCAAGTGCTTGTCTGGAAAACTGTCACATTTGACAAGATATATTCGCAAAATTTGGTATAGATTATTTTTTAAGGCAACAGTATCCTAAGAAATTTTTCAGAACGAATTACTATAGCATATAGCTTCCATGCAAATTGAACACATAATTACTAACAGAAATGCTCCTGTGAAGGGTGTTTAGCTTCGGTGCAACCAACAGTTCAAGTTAACGCTGTTTCTTGTTTCCTATTGGTAAGATTTGAAGGTATGAGGCAGACATTTTAAAAGCAATACAACCCATTGATTTATGTAAAAGTTCGTAAAAATTCTCAAAGCAATTCATTTAAAATTTTTTTTTTGCTTAAAAAAATATAATTAAGAATTTTCATCTAACTGCTCTTCGACTAACTACAACTTTTCAATTGAATGGGCAAACTTTTTTCGCTTGCTTGACATACAGAAACGGCGCAGTTTTTCGTTGCAAAACCGCTCGAGCCACCAGCGTAAGCGAATTTATCAGTCTTCAAGACATGTAAACAATTCGCAGCGCGGCATAAATTATTATTTGTTGAAACTCCCATTGAAACCTGCTAACCGACTGACGGCTAATAACTTCTTACTGTCTACAATACTACAACCATGGCGGTAATCTTCACGGCCCCTAGGCGGGCGTTGCTAGAATTTTCATTGAATGTGTCACGTAACATCTACGCCAATGACCGCACGTTTGGCGGTGATTTTTCGGCTGCGGCATATAAAAAGCATTTGAAATACTATTGCCCACTAGTAGTCTATGTTATTGCGGCGGTAAAAAACCAAACACAATAACTGCCAAAATGCAACGCTTCATCGTAAGTACGCTCTTAACATTTCAATTTTAGCAACAAATAAATTAATTGAATTATTTTGCCATTCTTTACTGTCCACAGTGTGCTTTCTTCTCGGTGCTGGCACTTGCGCACGCCCTTCCTTATGGCGGTTATGGCAGTTATGGCGCGCCAGCTGCAGCACCCGCTCCATCTTATACCAGCGGCGATGTAATTGTGTCGCAGGACCCCGCAGTCTTATACAACATTCCTGCACCATCTGCTTGGAATCTATCGCCAGCTGCAGCAGCAGGTCCAGTGCTAATCCCAGTTGATGCTAAAACTATTTCAGGACCTGGTAAGGCATCATCATTGATTGGCATCTCATCGCGTCCAAGTGCTATTGCTGCTGCGGCTTCTGCTAATGTGCCTTTGAATGCTGGTTCCTACAAGCTATTGATTGTACCCTCCTATGAAGTTCCCAATATTGTGGGACCTGAACCTGCTGTGCCCAAGTCGCCCGCTGGTGTTGGTGCTGGTGGTAGTGGCGCTCACGGTAGTCGCGCTCACGGTTATGGCGGTCAGGGCTATAGCGCTCCGGCTAGTCAAGTGGTCAGTTATTAATTGCTTTAATATTGGCTACAAACATCTCAAATGTAAGGAAGCAAAATTACTGTTAAATACATGAGCTCCAAGAGCAAATTCCTTAATTAATTAATATGAATTTTTTTTATTTGAAAACTTTTATGAGCATAAGAAATAGTATAGTATTGCAGTATTTGAGTATAAGCAGTAAGACAGTTACGTTGAGAATATGTGAGGTTGAGGTTTTTACATCTGGTTTAGCTAAGAGTATCATTCAAATATTAGTATTCTTACTGAAGGATGAAATTATTTGAAGTAATTTTTTCAACAAAATACCAGTGAAATAGATATGATGGAGGCCCGCTAAGATCGGAATACATTCTTTTCATCTATCCCTTGAAACAAGCACAGTTGCTTCACCAGATCTTTCACACAGGGACCACATCTTTCCAGCAATTCATAATTGTTTGTTTTACAGACGACACTGTCTTCTGAAAAAATTTCTTTTTAGAAAAACTTCAGACCTCACCGTTTACTTGAGAAACTTGATACAACCTCAGCTATTTATTCTATATTTTACGGCGAAGTTTAGATAAAATTCTTAGAGACTTGGAAGAAGGATTTTGTTTCGATTACAAAATCAATGACGCGAAATTTTTATTGTTTATTAATTTCTGTTTTTTCCGATTGGTCACCGCTAATGGCGTTGCAATGGCAGAGTTTAAAATATTGTTTCCTAAATTTTCAGAATTTCTTTGTTAATCTATATATATAATATATAAGAGAGTTGTTGTTAGTTACACCATTTATAACTCAAGAACGGCTGAACCGATTTGGCTAAACAAATTATAATTTCAAAACTCATGTTTGTAGGTATCATTTGAATATATGCGTACAATTTCAAACAGATTCTTCCTCAAAAATAAAACAATTGCTAACTAAGTATTTGGAATAATAGAAAAGATGTGCAACCAAATATGCAGTGAATAATCTACTGACTCAGTAATCAGTTATTGAGTATGTATTATACCACGTGCATTCCAAAATACTGCTGTCATGCCCTTTCCAGCCGCATTTTTCGTTTTTCCACGCCTGAGAACCGGTTAATCATGTGCGATCCACTAGAATAACTGTCGATTGAACTCCAGTGGGAAATGATGGAGTTATTTTTCTATCACCGACGAAAAAATTCGGCTTTATTCCGACTAGAGAGCACTCAAACACTTCTCAGAATTAGTTATTTGTTGTTTTCGTTGGATTATGAACTTGCGTGTCACCCACTTTGCAGAGAGCTTTCGCCTCTTTAGAGCATCGTTTTCCTCGGTGCTGATTTCGCCTGTTTTCAACTTAGCAAATATCTTTTTAACGGTGGATTTCCCTGAGCGCAAATTAAACAGTATTTTGCCCCAAAAAGCAATGCTTTATTAACATACGAAATGCTTTATGATCCATTTTTTTGTAAACTAACACCAGTTGTTTCACAAAAATGCTATGTCTCATTAACCAATAATTATAATCCAACTAATGGAAATCATATAGATTGTAGTAGTAGTATTATTTATGTATCAGCCACAGTGAAGCGCGACGGGTTCTCTAGTAGTATATATTTGTAAGAATAAAATACTCTAATAAAATATTTAATTTTTTTATTTGAAATTATTGGAGAAAGTCTTTTTTTTACTCGAGGGAACCAATGTAATCCCTTAAAAGAATTCGTACTTGATATCTGTAGGTCTGGACTTTTTGAAAGAAAGTATTATATAATATAGTGATAAGCGATTTTCATCAATTTCTAACTGTTTGGAACTAATGGGATCCTCACAAACTAAGTCGTATTCATATTTCTAGAGTAGTTCTTTTCGATCGATGATATAGGAGTCTTTCCTTAGCAAGAAGTACGCGCAGAGGTCTTTCACTTGGAGCCTGACACTCGCAAAAGAATATGTACACTTTTTTATTGCATCCAATTCTTATACTTCGAATTGGTAATGGCTATCTCTAATCACATTTGAATTGAACACAAAATTAAATTTACTTAATTGCGATATCAGCATTTGTGTGAATGGCGTCTTATAGTTTTTGGCAGCAATTTCGAAATCGGTCCATGCTTGACCATCAACAACTTTTCAATCAGGATTTGAAACTTCAGTTTGGAAGCAAACTCTATCTCAATTTATAAATAACTTAATAAAGGCGGCTATTACGACTGATTTTAAGTATTCACTGACAATGTTGGGCCTCTCTGAAAATATCGGCTGACCTGGGGTTAAGATTCAACACATTGAAGAGTTCTGTGAAAAGTTCAGAAAGTGTGCTATGTGTTACTAAACATCTAACCGAGCCAATCTTTTGACGAGTTTAGGAATAGGAGCTTTTTCGATTTAAGCAAAAAAAAAAAAAAAGTCTATGTTTTTGAATATAGATCCATAAATTAAACTATACGCATTCCAAGGAGCATTAAATTAATATTTTACTTTTTTAATCTATATTTTAATTTTTCAATTTTTTTTGGTTTGAAAGTACTGTCTCACACCTCTGTCTAGTAAAAGGTGTTAGCCACTTAATAAAGTCTCTTTTGTTTCCATGTCCCAACAATAGAGTTTAACTTCCAGTTGAATATTCTCTTAGTTCAATATCTCCTTCCTTCTGAGCTTATATTTTGACATTTTGGTTCAAAAATGATTTTAAGCGCTTTGCAAATGAAGTTTAAAATACATCGGAAAGAGTACAGTATATTAAACTTGTTCTCATCGCAATGTGCTTAGTCCACATCGCTTATTTGCTCAACTATTAAATAACTCTTCGAACACTGCATCGGACATCATCAGTTTAGTTTATGTTAAGTCAAGACCTTTATTATAATGCAACCGCTTCAGATGCCAGAGAAAGCTGTTTCGAAAAAAAGCTCGAGTTAACGTTGCACCAAATTCGAAATTCTGCTTTCGTAAATAAAAAAATATTCGAGAAATAACACACAAACAATTTTAAAGTGCTTCAAAAGTCTCGACTTGACCCGCCACAACTGAATACTGTCGCTGATCCATATATATAAACTTGAAGCGTCGTTTGCAATCGTGTAAGTAGTAATGTTTTTTATTACGATTTCGTTTCAACCATGAATTGTAGAGTTCAAAGTGCAACCTTTTATCAGGTGATAAGAAAACACGAATTACAAGCAAGTGTTCTATTTTTAAGCAGCGATGCTCTTAATCTCACGGGTATGTAATTACTTACTACTAGTTCATTGTGTGGGTTAATTAAACTTTTTACTCTTCCATAGCTGCCGCCAACAAATGGCGGGGTTATCTTCGCTTCATGCCAACACCAAGCTTCAAATTGGCGTAGTTTGTGGTACCAAGCACTACTCAAAGTTTTGACATGCTATATGATCAACCGCAAACCACGCGTCTCTCCCCATACTATAGTGGAGAACTAAGAAGTAGACCATGCCGTGATTGTGCAGCTGGAGAAGAGTTAAGCTGAGCTCAAGCACATCATTCGCTGAAATTTTTTTAGACAATCGTTGTAGTTTCAATATTGTTTTGTGTTTGTTCTTGTTACACATAATGGTAAACGTTTTGCAGAACGCTTCCAATACCCATTTGTTGCCCCGTGAAATCTTTGTTTATGGCTTGGTATGATTTGAAATCACGTTTAGCGTTTTCCGATTTTTGTTCGGTTATAAAAAGAAGTGTGCCGCATTTGTTTTAGTTATTAGTACCAATTGTGGAAGAAGCCAAAGAACTTCCAGCAAACGCGAACCAACCACATACAATGCAAAGCAATATGAAACAGTTCATGGTAAGTTTTTTTTTTTATTTAGTGCTATTGAGGCTGTACGCGAAAACCCGCCACAAGACTCCCTCTAAGCATTTCCGTTTTTCTAGCTAGATAATGCTGTATTGAAACTCATGAGCGCCTTGTTTCTTTTTGTGTTCTTTACAGTGTCTTTCTTTGGCGCTTTTCGCCTCCGTTGCTGTGGCACATCCGTATGGACAATCGGCGTCATCGTATGGTGCTGCGCCAGCATCCAGTGCAGGTTATGGTGGCGGCGCCAGTGGCGTCGCTAATACAGTGCAGCAAGTCAGCTTGGCCGGTCTCGCCAATTTGGTGAATATCGAAGCGATTGAGAAATATTTGAATGCGCCAGCTCCAGCTGCCCGTGGTAGCGGTTCCGCTTCGTATTCTCAAGCTAAATATGTTGTATCCGCCTCAGCACCAACTGCCGGTCCCGTAATTTCTTCGAGTTACAGTGCTGCACCAGCTCCTGCAGCGGCTGCATCTTCAGGTGGTTATGGTGCCTCAGCTGGACCCGCTCTTTACGTTAATGAAGCACCATCTGTCAGTTATACCGCTCCCGCTGCTAGTTATTCAGCACCCGCTGCCAGTTATTCAGCACACGCTCCAGTCACTAGTTATGCCGCTCCTGCTCCAGCTTCATATGGTTATAGTGCTTCTGCCGCTCCTCGTTATAACTTCCTCCCAGCTACTGTTACCCAGATCAACGCTGGCAAGACTAGCTACAAAACCTATCAAACTCCCATCCAATACAGCACCATCACACTTCCAGTTGCTGCCTCTGGCCCTGTCGCCAATTTGTATGTACCTGAAAAAGCCGGTTCGTCTGGTAGTTCTGGTAGCTCCTATGGCAGTTCATCTGGTTATGGCAGCTCTATCAGCTCCTATGGCGGTTCAAGCTATTAAGCTTAACACATAATAGCGGTAAATTTAGTTAGTATTACTAATTTGTGTGCGTGCGACCAGTTAAAGAATTTCAAATTCAAAATTTTTATTTGAGAGCGTTTTGTGTAAAAAATTGTTTGATACAAGTTTGGAACATGTTTTGATATATTTGCGTTTTGAATACCAAATAAATTGTTTTTAAGTTGAATTAAATTGGTTTTACTGAGAATTATTTTGGGTTGTGTAAAAGTGTTTACTTGGTATGTATGATTGTTCGGCCGAATATTACGAAAAGAATTTCTTCGCTGTTCATGACCAACGGCGGATCCAGATGCTGTTTTGTTCAGCGAGTGAAGCATATAAACTAGATTGAACGCTAGATATAATGAAAAGTCTTCTGTCTATTGGTTTCAATTGATGTTTTTGAAGAAATATGCATGTAGAAGTGTACTATGTTATTCCCAAACAATTTATTGTAATATGCTGTCATTGACATTCTTGTACAGTAGACTATTTCTGAAAATGTTTGTTGGCCAAAAAAGAATTGGAATTAATATATTGAAGTTTTTTAAAGTCTTAGACAAAGATAGCTGTTCGACTCCCACGATAGACGATCCCAACACAAGCCTATTACACCAGAAGTAATAACGATTTGTGTAGTAATTATGATTTATTTTCTAGATGTAGGAACTATGAACAGAAATGAAAGTTTAGCTGTGCGAACTTAGATTAATATTTAAGTCACACCAAGTGTTACCGGTTTTAAGAATTTATGGTAAATATGTATATGTAAGCAGGTGTCAATTAGTCTAACTTCGAGCAGTCGAACTTAGTCCCACTTGAAAACCCATCGATATTTGATGTTTCTACAAGTGGAATACATTTCTTAAATACTAGGATAAACTTGAAGAACTAAATATATGTACATATGTATATACTGTGGATTAATAAATATGTTGAGATATTTTTGTAGTTATAGTTAATGAGATCGTTTCATATTTATAATCAAATTATTCTGTATCAAATATTCGCGTTACTATTATTGAATGTTTGGTGTTCTCATTTAGTTCCCAGTGCCCAATCTTTAATGAGATACTTACACTTACTAGCAAGCCTGGGCTTGTAAACTTATTATAGGAGTTTACTTAAGAATATCTCAAGCATTACCATCATGGATTCTCATCATGTATCAGCCCAAAAAACTATCTAACGTCCACTTCTTAACCAATACTAGACTCATTATCAGCGGTTAGCGATCAATATATGGTCTATCACGTGGATCACCAAAATACCATACTCAGCCTCTAAGCTCTGAGCTCTAACCAATATATGGAAAAGTACGTCGACCTCATGGGTCATTAAATAGCTCTCCACTGTCCGTCACTTAACCTTAATACTACACTCAATCTCAGAGCTTAGTGATCGAATATAAAATAAGTATATCCTATGAGCCACTTACATTCACAAGTCGTTGGAGAGAGATTAAATTTTGTTAGACCTTGCTCAAAGAGGAACACCACAAACAGCCTGGCTCAATCTATCCAACAAAGTTTTGACAAGAAATTATTGTCTAAGTATTTCTAGTACTTAAGCGCTCAGATAAGTATTTTGCTATTACGATGGAGTTATTGCTTCAAGTAGTAAATATTCAAGTTCCGTGAAAAGTTTTGAACTATGGAGAGTTGCACTAATTTCTGACTTTGAATCTTGTTTTAAGAATATCCATTTATATAAATTTTCTTAGAGTACCGCAGTACTAAATTAGTACTATTAAACATAGATTTGCTAATACAAGTGCTTTGACTAAAGAGTCATTTTAAAGCTGAAATTATTTTCCTTTATATAACTTCGTTTTAGGAATGAGTTTCTCGAAGTTGGGTTACCTCAGGAGACTTAAGGAAAATGAAGTTCAGGTGTTAGCGTATAAAATATATTAAAGTTTTATTAATAGTATTTTCCTTAAATATATTCGCCGATTGCGAAAACTAAACTAATATTTGCGTTAATTCCAGAATAATATCTTACCACTATGCCCTTTGTCCATGTCGAAAGTCGAAAAAACATGAACTCAAGTAAAATATTCTGCAATTTTTTGTTGTGAGTAATCAATATCACCGCGACGCTATTAGTCGAAGTTGAAAATTATCGCCGTTCAGCTAACACGCTCATAGAGTGTTGCAGAAGACAATATTGCGCAGCGCAATTCGCAAATTTACCAGCGTTGAGTTGAGCGGAGTTTAATCTATGGGGCCTTTAGCTAGCTAAGCCAGCTGGTGTTCGGCATAGCCAAGCAGAAGCTCGAATTTCTAGACTTAGTCACGTAAGGTGGCACGCATCTCGCCGATTTTTCAAGTACTCGCTATAAAAGCAAAACTGTGTCAATGACGCCACATTAGTTTACCATTTGCAGCGCCAAAACAACGCATTAGAAGACATTGTACGGAACAACGCGATATTACCAAAAAAAAAAAAAAAGAAAAGTAGTACAAAAATGTTCCGCTTCACGGTTAGCTTCGTGATCATGGCTGTGTGTTTGTGCACGTCCGCGTGGGCTTCACAATACGGTGGCGCGGCACCGGCAGCATCCTCGTCATATGGTGGCGGTGCCGCTGGCGGCTCATCGGCCGCCCAGGTTATTACACTGCCTGCCAATGTTGAAGCTCAAGCTGCCGCTTTGACGAATGCCGCCGGCGCAAAGGCAACCGCTGCCAAAATTAATGCTCTGAAATGGGATCTGCTTAACTTGTACGGGTACGAAATCGGTTATCCATTGTTGGTGAAGAAGTATGGTCCCTTGACTTCGTTGTTCTCTGCCTCGCTGCCAGCACGCAGTTTTGTTGGAAAAATTGATCCCGGTAAGTGAAAATTTTGTGAATTTGGCACGAAAAGCGTTGAGTTCGAGCGGGTTTTCTATGTGATATTTTAATTCAAAATTTTTGCTTTATCTTTCATTTCTAAGTTTTACTAATCGTAAATTACTTTCGTTTCGCTTACAGCTTTCTTGAAAGACTATAATGGCAAAATCAAACATGTCGGTGAAAGCTCGATAGGTGTTGTGGCAATCTAAGATGAACGCGCCTAAAACGCGAATTTGAATTAGTGCGACTGAAACCTTAATACTAAAATTAGCTTGATAATAAAGCTAATGTTTTTTAAGTGGAAAACTCTATGACTTTTATTTTGAATCTTTATGTAGAATTAATTCTTAGCGGCTAAAACGTCTACTTTATATAAAGCGTTCTCTTTCATAGTTATATGATCAGTCATATGCCTGTTTTCTCTCCGTGTGACTTCCGGCTGTACAGCAAACTCAAACAACCGCTTCATCGTTCAACCGCTGGAAATCGGTGTGAGTCAATTGAAGCCATTACACATGAATCGCTACGCGCATTGAAGCCTTGTCTGAAAATTGACTTTAACAACTGTTTCGAGGATTGGAAAACTGGCAGAAGTGTGTTAGGGCCAAGGGGTATCACACTGAGGGAGACGATATAGATTTTGTAGAATGAATTAAGAACTTTAATCTTAAGAACAAAGTCTTACTATATTTTGGTCTCAGTGAAAGAACAGAAGACAATTTGGAAAACCGACAATAAAATATAATATTAACTTAATTTATATTATTCACAATTACAAAAGATTCTTCACAAAAACTTAATATGCTATGGAAATCCGATCTAAACAATTTTTTCGGTGAGTGCAGCTTTGAAATATCTCTTCAAATGAAGAAGTTGCCTATACAATTGATTCCGACTTGATTACGATCGTTCGGTTTGTATGGCATCTAAATGTAATGGTGGTCTGATATCGTCAGTTTCGACAAACGGGTAAGAAAAGACCAATTATTGAATGAATTATTACATCCTGTATTTAACTATATATTTGTCTTCAAAAACTTAGTTCCATAAATGAAAAATCTTGGCTATATGTCCCAATTAAAAATGTTAATAAAACCCATGGATCTTGGCTATGTAGAGGTTGGAAAGAACATCTACTATAGATAGAGTTATTCCTTTCCAATGGAGGCCATTGTATACGTCAAACTATCTTTGTACTGGTTTTCATGTTAATCTTAATCGTGTCGTCTTTTGCATATGTAGATATCTTTACCCATTTATGTTTTTTGCCTGTCTTCACATGAATCCTATATGTACGAGTAAAGAATCAAGCATAGAATGCTTTATTAATAAACCTGTTCACAGTTTTTTATCTTGCCATTTATTTATCAATAAGAAATTCTCTGCTTAATTCTTTACTCGTATATACAGGCTTCATACCAAGACAAAAAATGTAAATGGGTTAAGACAAAACAAGAAACCATAAACAGCTATGTTTCGAGGGAACGCAAAAGAAAGGCCTTAATTTAACTGGAATGTAAAAGTCCCGAAGCCAGAGTAGGTAACTGTCAAGTGTAATATTTTGTTGATTTGGATCTCTATTGTACATACTTATGTATGGACGATGTTCTGTAAAATATATCGAGAGTGAGTTCTACCGAAAAGTGTAAAGTTATTCTGTAAAAGTTTGAACCTGAGAGTTTCTGAAAAATATATATATTCCTATGGTGATAATATTATAGCATGCTCTATTGATAATTTACTAGAAACATCCCAAAAAAATGTCTGTACTCGGCCCAATAGTTTGATGAAATTTACTGGAATGAGAAGATAATACTTTCGTGATTGACTTATATTAATATAATAACATAAAAATATTGGCGAAATATTGTTTTCGTAAGCATTACTGGTTCATATACCCATTATTCACATAATTTTATCCAAAGTATATAACTTAAATTACCAGGTAACGTGTTTATGATGGATAATGAGTTCTCACTACACAACTACCTATAATGGCATACAGCCAAAAGAGCTTCTACTTCTACGAAAAAGGAAACTAAATAATATTGTAAGGGTCATCATAGGGCACCTCCGCTTAAGATTTCATCTCCAGAGAATTGAAAATGGAGTTCAGCGGAAAGTAGAGTATGCATGTAGGATGATGGATACTATATTTGATAATGCCCAGGTTTCAGCCGGCTGTGACGGGAATCTTCTACGGCTTTCATTTCCCAAAATTAAGAGACATTAGTCAGTAGACGTGAAAAAAATCAGAATTTTATTAAATCTACTGAGTTGCTTGATAAGGCTTAATTTCGATTGGCTGCGGTCTGCTGTTCTTACAATCAACCAATGTGACTCACTTATT